ATAAGTCTCTGTACAGAGGAGCTTACACTCTAATGTCCCCCCATGGACGGTATCCCAAAGCCAAGGTCCATAACTGGAGATACAGGAACTGGAAGAACTTCGGATGACACAGGAAGTACTGGGGGTCACCGGGTGGCACAGGGGTACCCTGGAGACTCCAGAAACTGGAAAGTCAGCCATCTTGGTACTGTGGCCCCGCCTTCATGAGAACATCACATGACCACACTGGAGGAGGAAATCTCGGGGGCCGCTTTGGAAATTTTACACAATTGGACATCGTCTGCGGCACCAATAATGCCCACAAGGTGGGGATCTCACTGGTACCAAGTGGGCCGCAGAAACAGGAAGTGGTGGACTGTATAAAAGGGAAGTGATGTCACCTATAAACAGGAAGTTCCGGGTGAGAGGTGAGTCAGGAGGAAGTAGAGAGGAGGCATTGCTGGAACTGGTGGTGACCTCTGTAGTTGTATAATATTGACCTAATTTTGTTCACGTGTACTTTTTGTGTGCTAATAAAGTTTTGTATTCTTGTATATTAATGTTTTACTATGATGGGAGTACCGATGTATTGGAGGTCACATGGTGTGGGAACGCTGGAGATCCCGTACGGGGAAAGTCTTTCCTCGCTGTGTAGTACAGACTCTGTATCTGCAGGTCCCAACCAATCACGGGACTCTATGGTGACCCCGGAGGCGGAGCTCACCTTACTTCCTAAAAGTCAGTAGACGTCAGGAACCAGCCAACGTCACGAGATGAAATGAGGGCCGGCGTCATTTATCTCCCTACGACGATCCCCGATCATTCTCGACGTATTGTCTGTCCACAGAGAGGAGCTTCCTGTGCAGGTCACATGACCACCTCCGGGAGGATGGAGGAGGACCGGAGTCACGTGACCGAGAGGGTATTAGAACTCACCCTGGAGATCATCTACCTGCTGACCGGAGAGGTGAGGAGGATTCCGGGAGGTCACATGACCCGACCCGAGGGGTGAGGAGGATTCTGGAAAGGTCACATGACCTGACCGGAGGGGTGAGGAGGATTCTGGAAAGGTCACATGACCTGACCGGAGGGGTGAGGAGGATTCTGGGAGGTCACATGACCTGACCGGAGGGGTGAGGAGGATTCTGGGATTCTAACATGATGTTCCTATTGGTTCCTCCATCCAGAGTTTTCCTCTTCTGAAGTCCGGTGATCATGTGACCATCACAGCGCCCCCATGTGACTCCCTAAAACCCGAGAGACCCAACATGGAGAAGGTTCTAGAAGTCACCAAGAAGATGATGGAGCTGCTGACGGGAGAGGTGAGCGGTGCCGGGGATTCTGGGACATGATCCAGGAACAGACAAGGGGTGTGTCTGGGTGGTGACGGGAGAGGTGAGCGGTGCCGGGGATTCTGGGACATGGTCCAGGAACAGACAAGGGGCGTGTCTGGGT